AGTCTAGACGGTATGACCGCTTGACAGAGCTCGGAGACTGAGCTCTAGCGGTATCACCACCTGACAGGAGCGGTACCACCGTTGACAGCATTAACCGTCAACGGTACCACCGCCCAAAGCTCCTAGAAGACCGAGTCCCGGGCGATGCCATCGTCGGCCGTGACTTTAGGTGTTGAGTAGGCTGTTCAACCAGCCTAATTCAACCATGTTAAGGGCCCAGTTTGCTCCTATCTGAGTTAGTGGGATTCCTCCTAATTCTAACTCAACAAATGTACTAACTACGATTAAGGCAAGCGATTAGTCCAGTATGTTGATTTCTCTCGGCGAACTTCTTGGTGAGAGTCTTCCGACGTGCTTCTGGCGAACTCCCGATGAACTCTCAGCAATCTTCCGACGAGCTCTCGGCGATCTTCCAACGAGCTTCTAGCAAGAACTCTTGGCGATCTTCCGACGAACTCTCAGCGATCTTCAAATGAGCTCTCGGCGAGCTCCCGGTACATCGTCCAATCTTCGATTCTGGCTCATCATCTGCTTTACGCCTTACTACTATCATAGTTAATCCTGCATACTTATCTCAACACATAGATTATGTCAAATAATTTACCAATTAATTTTATCATCAAAATCTGAGATTCAACAGATACCACTGCTTGACACATTGTCACTAGGCGATACCATCGCCTGACAGCCTTGGAGACCGAATTTTTTGAGTTTTGCAACTCACAGGTAGTTTTACCGCCTATTCTAGTGGTGCCATCACTTGGCCCAACATTTAGGTCATTGAATGGGCCTCTCAATGAGCCCAAATCACTCCCAATTTAGGCCTAATTGGCCCCTAATTGAGTTGGACCAATTCTAACCTAATTATGTGCTAACTACGAATTTTAAGACATTCACTAATCTAAATAAGTTCATAAGTCTATGTTTCTTCCGGCGAACTTCCGACGATCTATCGGCAATATTCCAGTGGACTCCCGATAAGCTCCTGGACTTCACGAAGATCTTTTTGGCAAGTTCCAACGAGCTTCTTTGGTAAGCTCTTGAACTTCTCGGTCAATTCTAACAGTACTTCCGAGGAACGTCCGGACTTCCGACGAACTTTTGAACTCCCAATGAAATCTTGTTCTTGACTCCGGGACTTCAGTTTGCTTTATGCCTTGATCGCAATCGTAGTTAATCCTGCACACTTAAAACCTACTTCGATCTAGATAATTATTACAAAGTAAATCAAATGTTGTCTAATATGTCATTGGTTCATTGACGCTTCGTCCGAATCTTCGGTGCATCATCCTCTCTTACGGCCTATTGCCCAATCGATCAGTTGACCTCCACAATTCCGATTTACTTGGCGTAATTTTCGCTCTTCTTGGCCCGATGCCTAAACCCATGGCTTGAAGCCTTTTGCTGATACGTTGACCAATCCTTCGGCTCGACGTCTAATTATCTGACATGTTTCTCTCCAGCCCAACATGATTCTTCTTGCTTTAATTGTCTCACCCTGATCAAAGCTTCCTGTGTCACTCAAAACGTAGATCAAATCATAAACATTATAAATTGGTTTTCATTATCAAAATCCAAGATTCAACGAAAGAATATATTGAGTTTAACTTTTAAAACAGAAATCTGATGTTGAAATTACTTTCAAAAACTTATATATCATAATCTATAATCAATCTAAGCAAAAATATAAGTTTTGAGGATAGAGTAGTAGAAAACACTTTGATATTATTATTGGTTCCTACTTGTTAGAGCATTCACCGAGTCTCCGTTAAGATGATAGTGTGGAATGAAAAAAAGATAAACTCGTAAGTAAAGTAGCATGCTCATTTTTATTTACCACGTATGTTTCTTTTCTTTTTTTAAGAGATATCATTCTTATCGCTTCATATTTAATTTATTAAATACCTATCAAAATATTTAAATTTTAAATATCTCTTGATTATTTATCCATAATATATTCATGTGTAAAAATTATTTAACTCAAGTATATTTCGATGCATTTTTTTTATCCAAACTAATCTTAATAGAGTAATTCGGTTTATAATTTTTAAAAGCAACTAAAAAAACATAAAGTAAAAGCGTGGCGTTTACCTCGCCGGAAGAGACACTTAAAACAAAGCTAACGAAACGTCAATGAGCGAAACAATAACGCAGAAGCCAAGTCAACGACGGCCCAAACGTGAATAAAAAAGCCACGATGAAGGAATAAATAAATAATACCTAAAATAAATAAATAAAAGATGCTGCTTAATGCTAAAGAGTACGATTCGTTTGGAGCCCAAAACCAACACGTGACTCAAAATCCAAAGTCTTCTCCTTCCTTTATTCTTTTCATGCCGTTCTTTTAATTCGTCAAGTTTCTCTCATAATAATTAATCCTTTAAGATTTTCATTTAACATACAAGTCTTTGATCGGCAAAATTGCAAATATATATTCTTCCTAATCTAATTTTAGCACATAATTCCAAAACTGTTTATTTTCTTTAATTTATGTGATCAATTTACATCAACACTTTTCTAATAAATCAATTCAAGACACTGTTTGAAATCAAAGACTTGTTAAAAAAATAAAAATAAAAAAAGGGAACAAGCGCAGATGATATGAACTTATTATATGTAGAAGATATTATATGTTGTGGTGTTCTAATGTTTGCTGATATAAATATTTCTTGTAAATAGTTTATCAGATTTAAATTGAAGAGTTGCCGTCCAAAATATGAGGATTTTTGTTTTTACAAATAATAGAAAGACTTATGTGAAAAATTGACACATTTAACACGTGACGCAAAAAGCGCCACAGAAAGGACAGATACAGAAACAACTCAGTCTTATTTGACGAAGTTCGTGCAGCAGTTGTAAAAACAAAAAGTGTCAGCAACTCTTTTATTTGTAAAAAGAGTGGTTGTAAAAACAACTCTTTTATTTGTTAAAATAAAAGCGCCACAGAAACGACAGAGACAGAAACAACTCTTTTATTTGTTAAAGGACACATTTAACACGTGCAGCAGTTGTAAAACCAAAAAGCGCCGCAGAAAAATTGCGTATGCTTGCATGAACTTCGTGTATCTAAAGTGGACCCCCATGAACTCACCGCAAGCATACGCAAGGTATTGTTGAGTAAAAGATACGTCAGTAGAGAAATGTTTTCTGTTCAAAAGAAATCCTTTACTCTACAACCATCGAGTCTGCATCAACTAACGACTTACGGCACGAAATCCTGACGTGGTGCGCATTAGGAGAAGAAAGGGAAAGACTCGCGGTTCGGATGGATTCGTCACGAGCAACGACAACCTATCGTCGTGCGATTAGTCGAATCGTGATCGTCTTCTTTTATCGTTTCTTCCGACCCGTTACCTTTGTCCTCTGCTATTACGATCTCGGCGCCTGCGAGGTCGGGAGAGAAAGCAAGGAGGAGGAAGAAGCATGGCGAATCCTCTGCAGGCGCACGTCACAGACGAGACCGACGCGGAGAACACGGAAGTGAAATCCTCGGAGTGTAACAGCGGCAGGTAGCGCTTCTGCTGCTGCTGTGCTAATTGCTCCTTTTCCCCTTCCTCGTCTTCGAAGCTGCAAGATATGTTGTCTGAGATCGTAGCGATCAAATCAAGGGATTAAGAAGAAGATGATCTTTTGGCATTTATCTTTGTTGCGATTTTGCTTTCTGCTTTCAAAGGCTCTCACTTTTTGTTCACTTGCTTGGATCTTCGAGGATATCGCCTCCGCGGATGCCGCAACCAACGCAGCTCACCATCTTCTACAATGGAGCCGACAGTGTCTACAATGGAGTTCCTCCCGAAAAGGTTCGCATTTTTCATCTCTCGATTTCTTTTCTTCCCTGTTTTTTGAACTGGGGGTCTTTGGAACTGAATCGCTCTGATTCCTGCTGAAACAGGCGCAGGCAATACTGCTCATTGCTGCTGCTGCAACGGCAGCGTCTAGGGCTGCGAATAAGGTCGGTCCGACTGCTGCGGCGGCAGGTTTGCCGGCACTCACAAGATCTCTGTCGCTGCAGAGCTCCAATGCGGGCATGCGAAAGATCATAGTCCCGCGTGCCCAGATTTTTCTCGGTGTCAGCAGCCCCCTCTGCAAGCAGCAAGCTGGTTGGTTATCTTTATTGCCTTGCTCTGTGATCATGCGAAAGATCTTCCCTTTTCGGCTCTGGAATCGCTGATAGGTGTTTGGGGATTTGCCCCCGCGCAGAGCTCCCCATGGCAAGAAGGCACTCGCTTCAGTGTTTCTTGGAGAAACGCCGCAACAGGTGAATCTCTCTTGTTCCTCCATTTATTTTCAAGCACAGAGCTATATGGACTGTTGCATGCTCTCATGCAAAAATGAAAATGATGTTCATAATAAATATACTATTAATTTTGTTTTACCGAACTATAATCATTTTCTATGGAAAGACTGTTAGTTTTGTGATTGGAAGTTTTTAAGATCATTAGTGAATCTGAAGGGAAGGATGAAATCAGAAGTTGAGTAGAGATAAGATAGGAAAATCATTTTGCTCTATCTTGACAAAGCAGAAATGTACTCTCCGAGAGTTAAGGTTCTCATCAAGTGCCACCAGATATTAAAAGGCACATACATGCATACCTGTGCATGCTGATGGAGACAAGAGGAAAGTGAGAATAAAAATGGAGCATGCACTGCAGACCTTGGGCATTGATGGATTTCCATTATATTTATGAGAGTTATGTCATGCTACAATGATATCTACCTGGACATTCATATTCACATCCAATGAAGTGGAAAAATTCTCTGTGAATCTTCAGCTTTAATTATATGTTATGTTGTTAAAGCTTTGAGCACTAGGTGTCTAGCATCGAAAAGTAAAAGTAAATCACCACATGTTTTAGGACAAGGATTTGTTTTTCTCTCTGTCTGCTGTGCCCATTGGCAGATAAAGAAAAAGTCTTCATGTACATCCTGTTAAACATCAAAGTGAGCACACAGATGCTCTTTCCAAGGGCATCTTCAAGACCTTTTAAGTTTACAGAAACTTGGTACATGCATATCCTGTACAGGATATGAATCTTTTGGAATTCCGTAACACAACAAAATCCATTCTGTTCCTCATATGTTGCTAATAGATATATTTCTACTTGTCATTTTGGTGGGATAGATTAACTTGCATATATTAGTACCACGCAGTTTGATTTTTAGTTGTACCAGTTCCGCATTGCTGCATAAAAGCATTGAAAAATCACAAATTACTGGAGCCCAGAATCAGTGTTTCATATAGGAATTCTTTTATTGCTTTAGTTTCTGATACCTAAATGAATTTACTGTCCGTGCTGCTAGGAAGATCTCATTATCTTGAGCTGCATGTGAACAATGCAAACACGGTTGATTGTATCTAATTAAAATATCCTTGTGATTTAAACTTTGCTTATATACTAAATGGTAAAAGTGCTGGTTTTTCACCATCTAATTTCATAGATGTGTCGTGTCCTCAATTTAGAACAATTGTAGTAGCTGCACTGACAATTCAATGTTTTGTTCTTAAATAACAGCTCATTTTCAATTCAAAGTTCTCTCTTTAGTCTTCTGCTGCATTAATAAGTTGATCAATGTTGCATGAAACAGTGAAACTTATATTCGATAGGCTGACTGAAACTTTTTCCTTGTTTTTTGTTGTTGAGATAAGCTAGCTGTTGCCTACATTTTTTTGCCACTTAAAAAGACTGGATAGCATTTTGTTAGTAATGTTGTCCGCATGTAATTAGTGACTTTCCAAGTGTTTATCCTTTTCCTATTCATCTATCTTCCCTCTACATAATTACCATGTTATCTTATTTTTATCTGTCATGATGGCCCTTGTTCTCACTGGGCTAATTATTGATCAGGTTGGCAGGCAAGGCACCATATGCTTCAGTGAAACCACCAGATGACATAGAAATGACTTACGAGCAAAAGCTTGGTTACAACTGTCACTGAGCTTCGACTTTGACAACTTCAACCTACTAAGATTAATAGCTATGACCTCCCCGGATTTCATGAACATTATGCTAAGTAATTCTCATGTCAACAGACTAATGCTTACGAAATGTAATGGATGGACTATACTGTTTCCTAGATAAAAGGCATTCAACTTTACGTATACTACTATTGTTGAGCCTTTAAGGATATGGACTTGAGACCTTTGAAGAATAATTATTTACCATTCCAGGAGAATCTTTGAACTGGGCCTACGGAAAATATAATAGTTCTGGATATAGCTGCAAACATGTTCTTGAACAAGCTATCTTATGATCTGGGCATTTAGACAAGTTGGAACAGCAGGACTATATAATCTACCACCTGAACAATGAACCATGGAAGTAAGTGTGTCATATATCAATCAGCTGCTTGAAGATGAGTGTCAAAACATTCAATACACATGAAAGTAGATAACTTATAATGAACTCTATAGAAATAGCTGTCCAATTGTAGGACCTCAACACACTCAATATGTTATGAAAACACAACTGACCGAAAAAAAAAAAAAAAAAAATCAACTACCAAAAATCCACCGAAAATTCTTATTTGCATTCTAACTTTGTACCAGACTCCATATGGGTAAACACCAACCAGGATGAAGCCTTCATGGATGAGCAACACTTAGGTAAAACTTGCTACCTGGCCATTGTCATGGACAAATAATCCACCAGAAAAGGTGGGGGAACAATCATGAGATTAGTACCAAAATCCACCTCACAATATGAAATGGCACCATATTTGATAATACAATTATGAAAATATAATTACACAGAGACAAGTAGACCACAGGTCTGATGATAGCATGTGCCATGCAATTCCAGCCTTTCATCTGTCCTTGGAGACGGGTATATGCTTTGATGAAAGTCATTCTACTGGGAAGATTTTCCAGATCATATAAGTTAAATCCTCCATTTAGTTGACCCTGTATGTTCAATGACAATGTGGTGATAGAAAAACAATGGTAAATTAGCATCAAAATATTAATATTGGTAAACAAAACCTTACTAACAAATTGATGTAAGAAGTTGAAGAAATATTTCTTAAATACCAAATTATCAGACAGAAGTTTCCCAGAATATCACTTTTGAGTATACACTTCACAAAACTAACCAGCAACAATGAATAAAAAATTTGTTGGAAGACAATGTCCTGTATGGTAAAAAATTTCAAAATACTATGCAAACCCCTTGAATCCTCTGCTTTATTTCATGAAATGTTTACTGTTGCCAGTTGATGTTCATGAACTTGTGAATAGGTAAAATGAGGACTTCATTATATTTCAAGTTGGTGTTTCAAAGTGTAGAAGTATGAAACAACTGACCATGACCATGGATCACGAAATCATTGATTGAAAAGATGCATGTCAAACGAACAATACTGACTTTAATTTTATAGAGATTATAATCCAGAAACTTGAGCCTAAAAAACTATTGGGCAATCTGATGCAAGTCCATCTAAATTGTTGACTTTAACAATGGATAAAAATATTCAAAGACTAAATGACAATAACCAAAACCTCTAGCTTCAATGCCTATAGCATCTTAATCCTAAAGAACACAAAACATAGTGATCGCCAAGAGTAAAGCAATAGCATCACAAGTCCAAAGATGACATTTCTATGTGCTAAGTGGATATTAAAATATAGAGATGTACACAACCAATTAGCTGAATCTGCAAATAAGTGTCATCCTGATCATTATTATTGCCAAACAAAAGATATGGAATTTGACTTTAAAACTTACAATGAAAATTCTTCATATCAACTACATCAAACATTTTAAGAAACAGGGTAATTCGTAGTCAAACATATAAGAGGAATGTTAAGCATCATACTTGTTGCATGAACTTTTAGAACTTTTGGGGGCTCTAATAAGATGATATACTATGATGTCTGTACTCTGAAAAACTTAGGTCCTGTGCAATGTTAACACTTTACAAACCAAAAGCCTTTACATGCCAAAACTAAAGCCAAATTGACAGTCACAAGATATCAAGTCAACCTATTGGTTTCTCTTGGATGTATTATACAACGGCAAGTTGGGGGAGGAATTGCAGTATTCCTAGAATCACCATTAGTTCAGTAAGCAACACTGATATAAATGATCAATATGTCCTAGCTTATTTATATAGGAGGATACTACAAAACTAAATATACAAGGACCAATTGTAAGTAAGGCTGGTTTATGTTCTAAATATCAAAAGGTTCAGATGATACAAGGAGACAAAGGGTTCACTTAAGATGTTATGACCTCAAGACCTAAGGCAACCTGCATAGAATGTACTGGGGTCAGTTGGAATGATGTGTTCGGCCAAGTTAGTATATCATGACAGACTTTTGTAGGAGAAAAGACAAATCAATTTGACTAAGAAAATTTTGCTTGATCTCGTAATCAAGTCAAACACAAAAAGCACTGAATTGAGGCATTTTTACATTCACATGGATCTCTAGATAAATTTTTGGCTTTGTTTATATAGAAATGATTTGTCTTTTTTGGTAAATTTGGGATAATATATGACATCTTGTGGCATCAACTCATGCTACATTAATTATACGATCATGATCCTTAAAATAAAGCCAAACAATTATAATGCTATTGAATAACTACCTACTAATGACAAATTCTAATGCTAATATTACATGTTTAGTGTTGGATAATTGAAAAATCCACTGTATTACAAACAACATTCCAAACAAGAACCAACTACCCCTACAAACTTCGTCACATCCATTGATTCTCAAGAAATGGATAGAAGGTTTTCTCACGTATAAAGTTCAAGTACTAAGCCAACTGCATGTTCAATATGGTTCACAGGACCTGGTTCAAATTTGGAATTGCCATGAGATATAGGATTCAAATTGGCATACTGGCTAAGATAGATTGCTTGATCAGGTTAAAAATTTAGCTGGATACTAGCTATAATCACTAGGTAACAATCAGGAACCATCCAGGATCAATATGAAGTAGACCAAAATCCACTTGTATCAAGTGTTACCAGGCAGACAGATTAAAAGATGGCCACAAATTAGTAGGAAATTAGTAGAAGCCACAGTGAATCTGTGAAAATTCAATTCATACAAAATCAGAGGAATAGACCAAAACCCGATCAAACACAATTTGGTTTGATGTGGAGGCCAAAAGTTTCATTGACAAGTCCAGTCAATTCCAAAGTTCTTGAAAATTTCAGTGTAGATGTGGCTGATCCTGCAAATACTGTATTTAATTTGATTCCTGTGAAACCAGAGTATCTTCAAGTCTTCACTTTTAGTTTGATGCAGATTTTGGTCTTCCAATATTGCAGTTTCAGCCCCTAAGATTTTACTATGATTCACATGAAACATCATAAGAAAAAAATATTCCTCAACTATAGTTTCTAACATTCATCATGGTCATCTAGGACATTGCAACATATGTTTAGGACATCCTTTCTAGACTTCTGCATAAGAAGATTGGGACATGGATCCTTCCTTTTCTTGAAATGAGGTCACTGTAATGCAATTTGATTAACAAAAACCTCATTATCCAGAGGTCCAACCACTTATTAGAGTTAAAACTTGAAATAATTGAATACAAGAGGATAGCTTGTCACTTCCTTGTACATTCTTTGATCCCAATAACAACAGCAATGACATACGTAATTCAAAAGAAGGAAGAAGTATGGAGTGAAAAGAAAAAGGAGAATCAGCAACAGTTGTTGCCCAAGACAAACTTAACATTTTAGAAACATGTTTGGACTATGAGACCCATTTTTTGTATAAGAACATAACTGACACTTGACTGGCTCTAAGAATACCAGAACTTCTAGAAATTGAAATCTACTACCTCAAGCTTCTATAAACAAAATCTTTAGCATAAAACATAAGGACTATGATACCAACACTAACAGTTTCCTCATAACCAAAGTTCATTGAAATATCAACTCATGGTTGGATATGGCTTGAGACTTACTGAACCAAATGCTTGCAGAGGCAGGCCCAGAAATATTTTGCACCTCATTGTTTAATTTGGACTCCAAATTTCTTGGTCAAAACGATGTCACTAAAATGAATAAATGAGTCCACAACAGCTACAACAACCTGTAATGATCAAAATTATTTGTGTTGGAAACATATAAATGATAGGTCTCAGCCTAATTACCCTTTTCATCATAAAGTTACTGCTGTGTGAGGGTCTACTTCCTCTCTCCTGTAAACTACCACCATCTGTTAATCAAAGACCAAGACTGGGGCTTTGCCAGCAACAAATAGCAGAATTAATGGTCCAAGTTCGTACTTATAGCATGCATAATTTATTTAAATATTAACTAAATTGCGACATCAAAACTAAAACGTTTAAGCTCCAACAAAAACTAATCTACAATGATTCAGCCACTCTTTCAAGAAGAATTTTCTACTCATTAATCATTTATAGAAGTATTACTTAAATTGTGACATCGAAGTTGAAAAGTCAAAGCTCCATTAATAACTAATATGCAATGAGAGTCAGCTCTTCCAAAATGAATTGCTTATGAAGCAAAATTAATTTGAATTCGAGCATTTGTGACTTCTTTTCCCGGTTTCCACTTCACAAAATGGAAGCATTACACTTGGGAACCACTGGGAAATGATATCAATATATATAGTCTGATTGTTGGTCCAAGTATGTAACATACAGTATGTACCATTTATTAAAATATCAATTAAAAGTGACAATAAAACAGATAAATTAAAGTTCCAACAATAACTAAGTTGCAACGAGAGTCAGCTACTCTGTGAAAAGGAATTTCTTAGGGAGCAAAGTTATTTTTAATATAAGCACTTGTGACTTCTTTTACTGCTCTTCACTTCACTGAATGTAAGCATTATACTTGTCAACCACCAGGAAAAGATAACATAATATAAAGTCCACATAAAGAGACCTTACATAAAACTTAGCTTGTCAATGACACATAACAAAGTAACATGTAAAGCAAGACATCACCTTTAACAACAGGCAAGCTGAACTTTGACACAACTTAAGTTTGTTTAAATAATTGAGCTAGTAAAAAAGGTACCAAAAGCATGGTCCATAGAGGAAACTTCAAAGAAGAATTTAGACACAATGTAGGAGACAACAGTAACCAGGCTCTACAAGGATCATCCTTTGCAACTAAAGCATAGAACACACAGTTAATTAGCAGATATAGGAAATGCATAAAAGGTCTTGCTTCATACAATTGGACTATGTTCAAAATTAAAAGTTACTTAGATTCACATGTTTGAATGGAATATTTGGCTAGTATTAAGAAGTTGGTTTCATTTGAAGTAATAAATAAGAAATGTAATCTGTATGAAAAGGTCTTAAGAGCTTACTAGCTTAGTGGATTTCTTTCTAGAGAAAATAGGAGGTTGATGGAGGCAGTTTGACAGCAAGCGTGAAAGAAACAGATGATCAAATACATGGCTTGAAGTATGAATATTCCAAAGGCAGTTCAGTTCACTGTAGAAAGCTGACCTACTAAAGTGAAATGGTTCGTCGGTAGAGCACTTCCTCATCACTTTCATCCTCCTCTTTGTCCGAGACCAAGTGGCTTCTTGGCATTTCTAATTTCCCACCCATGACAAAAGAAGGGCCCGGGGCATCTGCCTCAATATAATCACCCCGCAACCTCTCCTCGAACCTCTGATCGCTACAATTCAAGAACCAATCCAGTTTACATCTGATTCCTTTATTTACCAGCCTCTGGTACCTTGGCTTGATCCGGGACTCTAGGCTATATGTAAAGTACTCTGGGAACTCAAACAACTCCTGCACGGGCTGTTTCATCTCACTCTTGAAGAAGTAATAGCTATTCTTCATAAGCTCGACCCGACAGGCAAGCAACTGAGGACACTTGACGACCATGTTAGCCACATCCTCATCCGGGATGCCACGGCCCCGTAAAAACTCGATAGGCTTCAACATAACACTTTGATGGAGACTTACAATCTGGGGCATCTTCTCCATCGCCCGCGTGAACCCATCAGGATCTATCTTGAGTTTCAAATTGAAGAAGTATTGCTGCGTCGAGAGCTTAGCTTTGAGGGGCAGTCCGAGAATCTGGGGGAATTGGGCGATGACCGATGGCAGGGACTCTCTGCGCACCCCAAAACTGAGGAGAGCATCAACATTTGGCTTGACTGTCTCCTCGAGATCATAGCCAAGGATGTAGGGTCGCTTCTCGAGCATCTTGGCGAGGATCCGCTTGGGGAAGCCAAGGGACACCAAGAACTCAACGAGCGGCTTGATGGTGGTGCCGACGCGCATGCCAAGGAAGAAGGGGTATTGGGTGACCATGGGTCCGATGTCCCGGGGCCAGAGGCCGATGCTGACGAGGTAGCCGACGGAGGTGCTCATGGTGCCCTCGGGCTTGAAGCCTAGGAGCTCCGGATAGCGCTGGAGGACATAGGGGATGTCAGATCGCTCGACGTCGAGGCCGCGGAGGAACTTGACGACGGGTGCGAGCTCGACGACGACACTGGCGTGGAGGACCTGAGGGTAGGCGCGGACAAATTCGCCGAGGCGGGGACGAGGAACGCCGAGCTTCTCGAGGTAGCCGAGGACGGGTATCATGTTCTTGCGGACGCTGCAAGCAAGGAGGAGCGGGTAGGCGTTGAGGTCATCGACGGAGAGGCCAAGGCGGGTGAGGAAGTCGACGCGCTCGCTCATGACGTCGACGGAGGAGGGCAGCTCGAGGTCGGCGAGCTCGTCGGGGGCGATGCCCAGAGACTTGAGATAGTCGGAGATGATGACGCGCGACACCAGGCGCTCCTTGCGCCCCTGGATGACGCCCCATGTCACCGACGGAAGCTCGTACTCAGGGAACTTGGAGGAGGAGGACAACGACGACGAAGGCGATCCCTTCTCCCCGGGGACGGCGGTGGAGTAGCGAGATCGGCGGCTGGCGGAGGCCTCTCCGGCAGCCGACGCATGGCAGGCAGGGTTTGGGAGCAGAGGAAGGGGGCGAGAGATCGAGAACAGTGGGGGTTTTCTTCGGACTACAAAATTCATGGAGGAGAGAGAGAGAGAGAGAGAGAGAGAGAGGAGGAGGAGGAGGAGGA